GGGGGGGGGGGTGAGTGAGTGAGCGGCTGCGTGGTATTTGGCTGCCTGCCAGGTTAAACCACGACATACGGGAATTTTAGATTCCTTCATTTTTTCTCTATTCAATTTAGAGAAATATCTTAATAGGTCATTTGCAGAAAAAGAGGAATTGTTGATCCTTATCACATCCCCTTTGTGTGCAGCCTGTAGAGCTGTGCACAGGCAGAAGTGGTTTAAAGGTGTGAGGGTCCACCTACACATCCCAGAAGGTGTTAGTTGAAAACTGAGACTTGGGTCTCCAAGCCCGGTCCCTCACACACTAGTTTTGCCAGGTTGCAGAGGCCAAGACAGCTATGCCTGCTGCAAGGATGGTGACAGGAGCTTGACGGTCTAGTGGTTTAGTTGATGACCCCTTCTGCTGGCAGTTATGGAAGCCTAGCTGGGGGCTGGAAACGAGGCCAAACTGTGTTGGCCATTAAGAGACCATAAACTGAAGCTGGTCAGGAGGAGGGAACAGAGAGGTCCCAAAGACAGCACTGTGGAAGGAGAGCAGAAACAGACAAGGGACAACTCAGTTGTCCCTGTGCTGGGAGCTCCACTGCTCTTCAATAATTTCCACAGGAAATAGTCTGAGGTGACCAAAAAGTGCCAGAGCTGGAAAGAGCAATAGAGGTCTGCTTCTGTTTCCACTGAGATATGGGGTGTGCTTCTGAAGTGAGCAGGGTAGCACTCCACAACGTCTGGCTGACAGCTCTGTCCCTGTTGGCTTTTGGCATACCCTTGTTGATTATTGCCCAGTGTCGTGGTTTAACCCTGCACGCAACTAAGCACCCCAGCCAGCAACTAAGCACCACACAGCCGCTCCCTCTGTCCCCGCCGGTGGGATGGGGGAGAGAATTGGAAGAGTAAAAGTGAGAAAAGTCATGGGTTGAAATAAAGACAGTTTAATAGGTAAAGCAAAAACCATGCGTGCAAGCAAAGCAAAACAAGGAATTCATTCACTACTTCCCATTGGCAGGCAGGTGTTCAGCCATCTCCAGGAAAGCAGGGCTCCATCACGTGTAATGGTTACTTGGGAAGACAAACGCCATCACTCCGAACGTCCCCCCCTTCCTACTTCTTCCCCCAGCTTTTATTGCTGAGCATGATGTCATATGGTATGGAATACCCCTTTGGTCAACTGTCCCAGCTGTGTCCCCTCCCACCTTCTTGTGCACCCGCAGCCTACTCGCTGGTGGGGTGGTGTGAGAAGCAGAAAAGGTCTTGACGCTGTGTAGGCACTGCTCAGCAATAATGAAAACATCCCTGTATTATCAACACTGTTTCCAGCAGAAATCCAAAACACAGCCCCATACTAGCTACTATGAAGAAAATTAACTCTCTCCCAGCCAAAACCAGCACACCCACCTATTGACAGGCTAAGGTACAATATAGAGCCAAACTGGTTCAAAAAAGTGAACAGGTTGACATGAAAAAGTGCAAATGTGCAGTTCAGAATGGATGTGCTACTGGTGTCTTCATCCTTTCAAGAACCAACTGGCTTGACCAAATAGTGAGGGAGTTGGAATCAACAGATGCCAAATATATAGAAGAAGAAATAAAAGAGAGAATAAATGCTGAAAAGAAGCTAGAGACATTTCCATGTGTAGAATTTGGAGATCCTGGGATATACGAGGTTGGCAGGAACTGAAAATATTGGCACTGCTCTTCTTACAGGTAGTATTAGCTGAAAGGCAATGGCTGATCTCAGAGGTAATGGAGAGCCTAGGCCTTAACAACAGCTATGGTCTGCACAAGTAGCATGTGCTATTGCCCTTAGTGTCCCAAGACAAGGGCCTCAGAGCCCAGTCAGTGCTGAGAAGCCACAGGGGGCTCCAGCCCTGGACCCAGTGGGTTTGATCAGTAACATCTTTCTCTCGGGTGTCCTGTGCTCAGGCCTGTCTCATGTGAAATGGTGCTCTGTGGCAGAGGCTGGCAGAAGCCTACACCACCAGTGTGTCCTTGTGGGTTTTCCAAGGGATAAGATCCTTATTCTCTGGTCTCACCTTTTCTTATTACCCACAATTGCTGAAAAGGCACATGTCACTGAATAAGCTACTTCTGTCCTGTCACATTTCTTCCCACTTGCTTTACAGATGATGAAGAAACTGCCTTCCAGAAGAATTATACTAACCCATCTGCCACCTCATCTCCTGCCCCCATCCATTCTCCAAAGCAAGGCTATGGTGAGTCTTCTCTTTGCATCACACTGCAAAAGCTTTTTTACCCCAAATTAGCTTTCCTCTGTCTGTGTGAGATGTGTTTTCTGCACTTTCATCTGGGCTGGTCAATGCACAGGCACGTGTCGTGGTTTAACCTGGCAGGCAGCCAAATACCACGCAGCCGCTCACTCACTCCCCCCCTCCCTGGTGGGACGGGGAGAGAATCGGAAGGGTAAGAGTGAGAAAAACTCGTGGGTTGAGGTAAAGACAGTTTAATAGAACAGAAAAGGGAAAATAATAATGATAATGATAAAATATACAAAATAAGTGATGCACAATGCAGTTGCTCACCGCCCGCGCTGACCGATAACCAGGTAGCGATCGGTACTTCCTGGATCACGCCTACCATTCATATAACGAGCATGACGTCACATGGTATGGAATTCCCCATTAGCCAGCTGAGCTGGCTGTCCTGATTATGTTCCCTCCCATCGTGCGTACCTAGCTCAGTCAGTAGGCACGGGAGCTGTCCTTGGACTAGGAGGGCACTTAGCAACAACTGAAAACATCAGTGTGTTATCAACATTCTCCTCATACTAAATCCAAAACACAGCACTAGGAAGAAATTTACCCCTACCCCAGCCGAAACCAGGACACACATTTCCAAGGTTGAAGAGGCAGAGTGCTGTGTGCTGAGCCTGTGAATAAACATCCTCTCCCAGCAGCAGCTTTGCTGACTCATGAGGTTACTATCAGTGGGCTTGTCACTGGGTGCCACTGCCCTTTCAGACCTCCTTCAGAAAGATGCTTCCAGGTTTGTGTCAGAAAACTGAGCAACGCAAGCAGTTATTCTGTTTGCTTTAACTTGCCTCCAAGACCAGGGTACCTGTGGAAAGCCCACCACAGGCTGGGGCTAAGATAGTGTTCAATGGGAATTCCTTCAGAGAGAAGCAAGGGTGCACCCACAGTCTGCTTGTGGGTCTTCTGTTCAGTAGCCCATGAGCTCATTTCTCTGGATTGGAGCTAGCTCAGAGCTATGTCCCAAGGGCATCACTAAGAAGCTTCAGGTTTTCACCCTGAAGCTCACATTAACAGCAAGTGGCCTGCCAAAGCTCTGATTTCTTGCTCAAGAAAAGGAATTAGACCCGCATTGTACAGTCTGGCGGGTGTTAGTGGACATGTGATGTGTTGAGAAGATGGCGTTTTGTTCAGTCACCAAATCAGAACCAAATTATGTATTTTTTTCCTCCAGATCTTGTGCTAGTTTGGAACTCCAAACACGCGGCTGTCTCCTATTACCACTTCTACAACAACATGCCAGTGCTGCCATCCTTCGCCTCCTGGGATGAATACTCTGCATTCTCTGGAATTCCTCCTTACATGAGGGGCATACACAGGACCCTGTGCACGGGAATCCTACCCCAACATACCTTACCAAGGCACTCCCAGGACAGACAGACAGGCCCATGTTATGGCTGAAACTGGGAGTACCAGAGAATCAGAGTTTCTTTTGTTTCTACCTCTGAATGGAAAGATCATGAGAAAGCTTTAGCCTGACTTTTCCATTCCCACAATAGGGCTTGTGGTTCAGTGCAACCTAGTGGCCAGAGCTGGGGGATCCTGAACTGACCTCAGTCAAAAGAACAGACATGTTGACCTGGTCTCCACTTCACCATCCTGGTGCCATGCTTAGAGAGCTCTCTGACTCCTCTGATTTAGTAAGGGCCTGTTTTGGGAAATACCCTACACAGCTATGTTTCTTCTTCGTCTGCAATGGCCTGGGGATCCTACTTTGACCACTTAGTGGAATGGAACAAGTATATCGACCATGAGAGGATCATGACGATAAGCTATGAGGAACTCAAAGAGGTGTGGCATCTCACCCAGCTCTTCCTTGATGGGTACACTGTGCAACCCTCTTGATATGTATGGCTGTGGGGAAGAAGAAACTCTTGGGACAAGCCTGTCTGCCCCTTTAGAAAGGCATGCCTTTCTGAGCTCTCCTTTTATGTCTAGGGGAGGCACATGGGATTAGGAAGAGGATAGCCTTGCCTATTAGCAGAAGGAGTCATATCTGGCATAGGCACAGTTGCTTTCAGGAGAGAAGAAAATGCCTTGAAGCTGAGGCCACCATGTGTCGGTTCCCTCTCTGTTAGAGCTCTTAGAATTCATTGGTGACACTGTGGGAGGCAGACTCCTCTTCTGGGCTTCCCACCAGGTGCTGGATCCATGCCACAGCCATGGTGTCAAGTCTTTTGGTAAGTTGAAGTCCCCCACGAGAAAAAGGGCTAGCCATTGTGAGACTTCTCCCAGCTGCTTATAGAATATTTCACCTGCCTCTTCATCCTGGTTGGCTGGTCTATAACAGACTCCCACCATGATAGCTGCCTTGTTGGCCTTCCCCCTGATTCTTACCCATAAACACTCAACCCTATCGTCACCGTCATTAAGCTCTAGACAATCAAAACACTCCCTAACATACAGGGCTACCCCACCGCCTCTCCTTCCTTGCCTATCCCTCCTGAAGAGTTTATAGCCATCCATTGCAGCACTCCAGTTGTGTGAGTCATCCCACATTCTTTCCGTGATGGCAACTATGTCATAGTTTTCCTGCTGCACAACAAAGCTATGAAACAGAAATCCATGGAAACCTATGGAAAGTTTGGGGACATCCTCTTCCGGAAGGGTAAGTCTCTGCAAATGGAGAATCTGCCTTCTAAAGTGGGCCTCCTCACTTAGCCATGAGCTTACTGGGCTGTCTGGGAAGGACCAGTATGGGTGAGGTCTTTCCTGTGGCATCCTGTATAACAAAGCTCTGCTGTTGGCATGATTTGGGGGCTGTTTGTAGGAAACATACTGGAGTGCCTCAACTATCCTGGCTTAAGGTCCTCAGCCATTGCTTCCACGTTGCCCTATTTCCCTGTGGCAGCCCCGGTTAGTTAGGCAAGTGAGTTGTGAAGGTGAGGGGCCAACACTGGTGTAAGTTATTGCAACAATTATGCACCAAAGCTGCTTGGGCTGGATGGTTGTTCTTTACAGAGGGGGGGTGGTGTGGCCTTTGCCTGGCAGTCAGGTGATAAGGCCGATCCTGGATCCTGGATCCAGGCTGCACGTGTACCTCATGAAATTCCCCTTTGGGAGGAGGTGTGCTAATGGGACAAGAGTCCCATTAGAACCTCAAGGGAATGCATTGCTCCCTGCTCTTCTGGCCTCACAGGCATCTTCTTGTTACTCAGTGAGAGCTGAGGAATAGTCTCAATATGGTTCTTCCCAATGGGCATATCAGTGGTGGCCCCAGAGATGGTCTCTCACGGACCCGGGGCCAGGGCCAGAGCTCCCCATGACATAAAGCATCTTTGGCTTCTGACTACCGTGGATATGGGCTTGCTTTAACCCTTTCCTTCACCACTCTTTGGAGGAAGAAAGGAGTTCGCTTTCCTCTCTACCACCTACCCCACTGCCCCAAATAACTTCCCCCTTCAGAGGGAGGCATTCACAAATGAGCTTTCCCTTGTGATAAAACCAGGTTTCCCTCTCTTCCGTGTGAAAGCTTTAAGAAACCACTTTGGAAACACTTTCTGGGGAGGGAAGGCATATAGGCAGTTCACCAGCAATGCTCCCTGTGGCCTGGCTGCAGCCTTTACTTCTTATCTTTGCTACCTTGCCTCTCCCAGGCAATCAGACCTCTCAGGGGCATAAATCAGATCCTTCCCGCGTCATGTATGCAATGATTCTGCCCCATGGCTGCCTAGGTATTATCCCCTCTCAGGAGCAGCTGCCTTCAGTCTTTGGTACTTCTTGTTGTACACAGGGGTTGTTGGGAACTGGAGAGACCTCTTCTCTAAAGCTCAGAATGAAGAAACGGACTGAAAATTTGAGGACTGCCTAGGAGGAGCAAAAGTGGCTGCAAAGATGAAATATGATGTGTACTGCAAGGCCTGAAAATAAGCATATGAGCAGCATGACAGCAAGTCATGCTCCAAAGATGATTCTCCAAAGGTGGACAATCTCCATGTGTCCTCCCCATGAGAAAGAGATCTGCCTGGCACCTCCAAGCATTCAGGTGGTAATTCTTAGGTGTGTGCTGGGTCTAGGGTGTGTGTTTCACTTGATGCAACCAAATAAAATCTGCGTACGCCTGGAGTGAATGCCTGGCATCCTTCCAGGAGGGAGACAGTGCACAGGCATCATAACGCCAGTCTAGTGGTATCCCTGTGGCTGCTTCATGGCCTGAAACGGCGCTTCATGGCCCCCGAGGTGCTTAGTGGTGAGGCAGAGGGACCAATGCAGGGCCTCTCCTCCCAGGACACAGTGGGCTTGACATGGATTTGTGATGTGGGTCTGAACCCCCAAATGTCTGTGTACGGGGAGAGCATGATAGTCTGGCTACCATGGTGCTGGCATTTGTACAGAGGCCAGATAGGCCTTTGACACTTTGGCAGACTCCTCACTTTGGTGCAGGGTGGGACTTCTGGAGCTTTTACTGCCATGAATTCTTAAGTAATGAACAACTATATGTTCTGGAGTGTTTTGCTCCCATTGGCCTCTTTGGGGACAGTTAGGTAAGTGGCAAGTGGGAAGAACCATGACTTTTGAATGGAAGGATTGGGGGAAAGAAGCCTCTTGATGACCCTGTTGCTAAACTATTAAAGCTGCATTTGTTCGACAATAATACATTCATGCTACATAGGTATGATTTCCACACCCTCCTTGCTGGTGTAGAAGTCCTTGCTACATCTGTACAGAACATGCTGCATGACCTCTTGTCACAACCACTCTTTTGGAAAATCACAAAAGCTAAGGAAATGTCAACTCCGTCTGGCGAAGGGAATTCAGTTCTTTGGAAAAGGGGTTCCTCTGCCATATTCCCAGACAGATACATCTGCAGGACTCTCACACCAAACTAACATTGAAAACTGAGCAACCAGCAACCAAAAACTTAATTAACAAAACTGGGAAATTGTCAAGGCCCTGCCAAAGCCCTGACTGTCCCTGCCCAGCCCTCCCAGGACTCCCTCCACCCTGCCCATGGCCCAGGAACCCTATGTCAGCCCCCTGGGACCGTCAGCCCCTGCCCCAGCAATGCCATAGCAGGGCCGGTCTCCAGCACCCCACAGCCCTGCCCTACCTGGCCATGGGCCCTGCCAAGCTGGACCCATCCATGGACCCACATCCTGGCCCATCCTCATCCCATCACTGTCCCCAGGGGGTGCCTGATGCCCAGGGCTGGGGCTGTCCTCGTTCCCATCGGATCCCTGCTCCTGGCTGGGGCGGTGGGATAGGCCCTGGCTGCCATGTCTCCCTGACATGAATGATGAGGAATGATGAGGAATTCCCTGACAGGAATAATGAGGAGTGTTGCAGATTCGGCTCTGATGGGCCACTCACAGCCTGCTTCTCAGTCAGATTTTCTAAACTTCTGTGCAAGAGCTGCCCATGTGAAATTGCTCTGCACGAAGAGGTGTATTTGCTTGAACCTGATGATTCTGGGCTTGTAGGTTTTCATTCCCTGAAGAGTAGGACTTCATGTAACTCTGGGCTTCCATGGATGAAAAGAGACAAACCACCATGCCCCTTAATTTTGGAATTAGCAACATTTTAATCTATTCCTTAATACATTCCCTTTACTATTTCCTACATAGAATCATAGAATCACAGAATAGTTTGGATTGGAAGGGACCTTTAGAGGTCATCTATTCCAATCCCCCCTGCAACGAGGAATCTTCAACTAGATCATGTTGCTCAGACCTCCGTCCAACCTGACCTTGAATGTTTCCAGGGACATTCAGGGCATTACCACCTCTCTGGGCAACTTTTTACAGTGTTTCACCACCCTCATCGTAAAAAATTTTGTCCTTTTATCTAGTCTAAATCTACTCTCTTTTAGTTTAAAACCATTTAAAACCATTGTCTTATCGCAACAGGTCCTACTAAAAAGTTTGTCCCCATCTTTCTTACAAGCCCTCTTTAAGTATTGAAAGGCCACAATTAAGGTCTCCCCGGAGCCTTCTCTTCTCCGGGCTGAACAATCCCAACTCTCTCAGCCTTTCCTCATGGGAGAGGTGTTCCATCCCTCTGATCACTTTTGTGGCCCTCTTCTGGACCCGCTCCAACAGGTCGATGTCTTTCCTGAACGGAGGACTCCAGAGCTGGATGCATGTATGCTGGACACATACAGGGTGATATCAAAAGCTATCTAGATAACAGAAAGCAGTGTGCATCTCAGTGCCTGAAAGGAGTTGAACGAGAGAACAAACCTGACCAGAAATGGGGAAACAGTCACTGAAATATTCAAAAGGCCTTTACTAAGATGAAAAGATGGCATCTCAAGGTCTGTTGTTTTTTTCCTGCAAAGGTATTTTGTGGCCTAAGGGCTCTTAGCAGCCCAGAAACTTTGGAAGCTCTGAAATCCTTTGAAACCAGGAGTGATGATGTAATTCTCACCATCTTTCCTAAAATGGGTGAGTCTTGCTTGCTTGATGAAGAGTCCACTGCTGCAGTCCAGGGGTGTGTGACTGCACATAACACAGCAATAACACCCACGACAGGTTAATGATGACTTCAGCCTGCTGTGGAGGCACAGGAGCGGGGGTTGTTCCATGGAGGAGGGCAGGAGGACTGGTGTTTCCATAGACCTCCTCCACTGTAGGACATAGGTCATTCTTGTGTGCTGGATGGAGGTACAGGCACACCTGCCACCCAGACTCTTGGACCTTTTTCCTCTCCCTTCCCATGCCTTTCAATCCCAGCATTTGGGATTACCGGATACCTTCATGTTTTCTCCTAATCACTTGGAGAAATATCTTAACATGTCATTTGAAGAAAAAAAGAGGAGGTGATGTTTGATCTGCATTACATCCACTTCATGCTCAACCTGAAATTTTTTTTCTCAGACAGGAACGGTATAAAATTGTGAGGTCTCATGTAAATATCAAAAGTATTTTAGATATCATTTGACATTTGAGTCATAACATCTCAAAGTTCCAACCAATCTTAAAAGAACTGTGTTAGAAAATGCTTTACATGACTCATTTTAAATGTGATGTGGCCAAGATTCAACCCACTTAATTAGCTAGTGTGGTGGTGAATGATGTGTAAGCTGAGAAAGATGCAGCCTAACTTTCAGCTCGACAGGGGGAAAGGGCTTCTGGCTTCTAAAAAAACATTTCTCAAAGAAATTGTAGAAATATGACTTGGAGAGATGAGCTTAGACTCTCCTGCTGGTTAAAAGGCTGAAAATGGATTTGGTCATTAGGAGGTAATGTAATGGTTGCACACACATGTCTCTGAAAAGCAGTAAAAATCTTGGATGGAACCTAAATTCTTTTAGTCTGTGAAGACTATTACATTTAACTGATTTCTCCATTTTTTTTTTTTTAATTTTCTTTTCAGAAATTGATGAATTATATTTCCTTTTGACTAACTCATCATTCCAGACTGTTTTGCCTTTGTTTCTACAGACACTGTCATCAGTCTTTTCTGATTTGTAATATCTTATAGTTTCCCAACTGACGTTACCCAACCCTATTTAAAGGATTTCCTTCTCCAGACCTCTCAGTCTATGTATGCTTATGGGTGTACAGGCTGAAAACCTTGGCTGTAATAAAACAGCCCCTTCCTAAGCCTCACAACTTTTAATATTTTTTCTTGCTTGTTTTTTTAGTTTTATCTATAGTCCATGGAATTATCTATTTCTAGTAAAATGTTTATTTTGTATTTGTTTCCAATCCCATTAAAGAGATAGAAAAAAATTCTTTTCCAGAAGAACGGTATCAACCTCATGTCCTGCTACACTTGTGCTTTTCCAAAGCAAGGCTAAGGTGAATCTTCCTTTTGATTCAATCTGAAACTACTGTTATTAAAAGCATTTTCATACAGATTAATTTTCCATTTCCTGTGTAAAATGTCTTTTCTGAGATTGTATGTAGGCTTTAGAGGGGTAATTATACATTTCTGAATGTGAAGTGATCAAGTGCTGTTTACAGAGACTGGACACAGGTTCTCTTGCATCTGCATCCATAATGGCTGCATAGGTTATTGCTGCCTTCAGCTCATCCCTGCCAAAGAAAACGGCTCCCTCAAATTTCCTGGGGGAGCTGCTCCCTGGCCTCTTTCATCCCAAATAATCCAGACTAGGATCTCTTTAAACTAACTGTGAAAGGACCTTGAGTTGTCCAAAGCTTAGAGGTGAGCCTACCTGGACCTTTTCTTTACAGTGGACACACCATAATCTCCCAGAGGGCTGTAAACTTCTAAAGGCTGCATTTAAGTTTAGCTAAATGAGGACAATCAACATTTAAAATATGGAAACTGAGTTTCTTCTGAGTGAGAACATAATAATATAACAGACCTTTTAAGTAAATCTCCTTTCTCCTCACAGTTTTTTGTCTCAGTCCAGCAACATTTAGTGGCATTTTGGGTTGCAGCAGGCTCCACGCAGGCTGAATATTCCTGAGAAATTTGAGCTAGTGGCTGCCCCAAAGGCTAGGCTTGCTTCCCTCTTCAGACTGTAGTTGTCTGCTCCTTTTTTTGCATGAGCTCTTGTGCTTGCCTGACACCCCCAACTTTTTGAAGCAGCTTGAAACACTCACTGGTGACAGCAAGCTGTCAGATTGTCCCAGCTGTCTTGCACAACCTCACCCCTGGTGCCTCTGGGTCTCTAAGAAAGAATTTCTCTGTTGCTTCAGAGGCTTGGCTCTGTCATTTTCTGCTTCTTTCAGGCATCTCCTAATATCTGCCCTCGCCACAGCCTTCCTGCCTGCTGGGTCATGCACCCATGCTCCAGACAGCTTTCCCAGCTCAGGACTCTCCTTCACCCAGAGTAGAGCAGGCACAGCAAGGCAAACGGGCAACCCCCTGCCTGGCCACTGAAAGGGAACAGGGTAGACACGACAGTCTCTGCACGCACGGACAGACAGCATCCCTCTCCCTCATACCTGGAG